AGTATTAATCTACGGATCAAATTGCTTATTTGTTTTGCTTACGAATTTACATCAATGCCACGTAAGGTTAATTATTTTTAGATTGTGTCTGTAATTATTCCGGCCAGGCCAACAATCGTGAGGCCCGCGGTGTCACAGAGAAGCTGCAACCTTGAAAAGGTCACAGAACATGCCGCCACACCGATTGTGAACGCGAGCTCCGCTTTTCCGATGGAGCGATGCTGCTCTCTAAATCACGACTTCGTTTTCTTTCTCCACCGCCCCTTTACCCACCTTCGCCTCAAGCGTGTTTGTCTTTCCTAGCGTCGCGACAAAAAGGAGACGCAAAGTAAACGCGCACCGATACCATTCGTTGTATTTGTTCAGTCGGAGGAATGTTTTGAAACAACAACAAAAACCACGTTCGAAAACGAATGTGCACACCCCCGTACGCAGCGGCACGGCGGCGGCCAGCGGGTTTGCAAACCTCGCGGAGTTGGGCCCCGTGGGCTTCTCGTGGCCACGAGCCGCGTGAGAGGGCCCATGGGGTGAGTGGGTGGGGGGCATGGTGTGGGTGGGTGGGGGCCATGAGGTGGGGTGGGTGGATGGGGGGAGGGGCATGGGGTTGGTGGGTGGGTGGGTGGGGGCCATGGGGTGGGGGGGGGGCACATGGGGTGGGGTGAGGTGGGGGGCCATGGTGTGGGGTGGGTGAGGGGGGCCATGGGGTGGGGACATGGGGTGGGGGGCCATGGGGTGGGGTGGGTGGGGAGTGGGGCATGTCGGGTAGGGGAGCCTCCACTTTATTTCATGTCAGGTATGTGCTGTAACAGGATATAATTAATCCGCGAATATATGAATGATAACACGATGTAACACAATTTTTGTTCCTGGGTAGTAAGTGTTATGTCCTAATTGCTTTTGTGACGAGGACTTTATGTGAACGAAAGGCACAAATGCACACGTTTTCTCATTGAAAATAGGTACATTTCAAAATATCACTGTCCTGGTCACAAAAGCAAAGTTTGTGGGGAATAATAGCCATTTTCTGTACTTTCGAGGCATAAGCAATTAGGAAATAACACTTACTACCCAGGATCAAAAAAAATTGTTGCACAGTGTAATTTATGTTAATATTTTCGGCCCATATACGATGTAATTGCGGGTGGCTTTGCCCATATAAGGAATACCGGAACGCGAATCGAAGTATTTTTTTAACGATCCAAAGCTCGAACACTGCTTGATCCATGTTCGAACACATAGACGCGTGTATTGATTTCTGGATCGAAAAAGGGGATTTGTGGATCTAAAAGCCCCTTATTATGCCGCCCATTGACGCCGATTGTCTTCCCTGCGCAATAATATAACTTGTCATTCATTCTGTTGCGGATTCATCACATCCTGTCACGGCGCGCGTTTGAAAGGAACAATGTGTTGAAGCAGCGAGGCTCTTCCTTCATAGCATGGGAGTGTGGCCGTACGTTGCGCCACGAGGTTTACCGTTCAAATGTGTCAGCGGCTGGCGTCACGACCCGAGCTGGTCTCGTGGACCCTGCGAGGCAGGACGCGTGTCCTATAGTCTCGCGAATTGGGCCGACCGCCCCGGGTCCCGCACTTTGGGGGGAGGGGGGGGTGGCGCGTTTCGACGTCACGGCGTCAGATGTGTGATACCATGGGTCCTGACTGTTCCAACAACTAGGAATTACGAAGATGCAAACTTCACTGTATGGGGCAAAGCTAACCTCATTATTATGAATGCGTTTGTTTAAATACACACATACGTGGTGATGTTGCATAATATATACGTAGATTGCAGTGTGTCCGGATGATTTGTTTTTGTGCTGGTTATATTAATTAGACATGCCATTTGTAATCTAGCCGTAATTATGCGCTGTCTGTATTTCCTGCATGTTTCGTTCAGTGCTTCTTTAATCCACTTACGGTTTGTGAACATAAAATCACATCCAAGGTCGGTTTCGTGCTCTGTAAAAAGGGAATATTTACACGTTTCCAAAATTAAGTGTTATACTTTACCCCCATACATTCGTGACTTTGGAATCATAAGACTTTAACAGTTTTTTTACCAACATTTTCCCTTTACCATGTTTATTAATTTACCACGCGATTTTATTTCAGTGGAATGAGAACGTCGATAGAACGCGGTGCGTTCACGTGATTACACGAGAGGCCACAGGGCGTCTAAATCTACAGCATGCACCCACCCCTACACCCAGCACCTTCACCCAGCACCTACACCCAGCACCTACACCCAGCACCTACACCCAGCACCTACACCCAGCACCTGCACCCAGCACCTACACCCAGCACCTGCACCCAGCACCCACACCCAGCACCCACACCTACACCCAGCACCTACACCCAGCACCTACACTCAACATACACACCTACACCCAGCACCTACACCCAGAACCCACACCTACACCCAGCACCTACACCCAGCACCTACACCCAGCACCTACACCCAGCACCTACACCCAGCACCTACACCCAGCACCTGCACCCACCCCTACTCCCAGCACCTACACCCAGCACCTACACCCAGCACCTACACCCAGCACCCACACCCAGCACCCGCACCCAGCACCCACACCCGCACCCAGCACCTACACTCAACATACACACCTACACCCAGCACCTGCACCCAGCACCCACAACTACACCCAGCACCTGCACCCAGCACCTACACTCAACATACACACCTAGCACCCACACCCGCACCCAGCACCCGCACCCAGAACCCACACCCAATCTCGCCCATGTTCCACCGTGTGCGAGATTGACAATGCATCATCTGGTGCCCACTCTCCCAACGTTAACGGACAAACAAAACAACACGATAAAATGTCGTACATCACCTCGGAAGGAAGTGGAGACGTTTTCAAAGACAGCAGTTTATTAAAGGGTCGGTTTTTTGTGTATTTATATATGTATATATCTATAATCAATGGAAAACCATGTTTTTCTTCAATTAGAATCATCAGCTATGGACGTGCCCCTGTCGCCTGCTTCAGGATCAACGCGAGTCCATTGGGAGCATTTCACATTCCTCTGCAGGTTTATGTCAAAAAAATTGCAAGTTGAAAAGCTGAAAACCAAATGCACACCGATCATCTATATTTCTTCAGCATTTAATAACAAAAACACCAACTTGATCAACTTGAAGTTAAGACAATTAACAGCAAGGACAGATTGCCTTGCCCCTAGCCTGTCGAAGCGCACACGATAATTCACACGTCATCATTGAGAAGTAAAAACATTTTAAGATGCCAACACTATTTGTCGTGTTGCATGGATATTAAATGTGTAGAAAATCCAAACCTTGTAAAAATTAAGCAAACCCCTCTTGGCATATTACCATTCACGGTCAACATACCTGATTAAAATTAACTACAAAGCTATTTCAAAATAAATGACAATAAATGAATACAGGGATTTTAAAACCTTCCTTATTGTAAACACAGCATAAATGCATACAACTACAGTAATTAGGGTAATTTGTCTAATCTTAAACCACGACCGTGATATCCAACAGTGATACATTATAGTAATATCTCTTTGGAATATCATAATTGATAAATAATCCCAACGGTATGACAACTCTCTCACAGAGTAAATAAAATCTCTTCTTTGAGTCGTTCCAGCCGAATCCTTTGCAGAGAAGTTCCTGTTTTTATCAAACATAATTCCGTTATCCATGATAGAGAGTTTTTTGGGGGGGTTCTATCACGTCAATAGAAATGTGTCGTTAAATCTGCCACCACCGCCCGACACAGCCAATTACCAAGGTTTGTCACGTAAATAAAAAAAACGTGCCATTTAGTTCAGCACACCGCTGTGTTTGGAGAGCAAACCCACACACATTCACAACCTATTTAGTAAATCGCTCTGATATGAACTTTAAAAATAAAACAACGATCTTTCCCACCTTCGACTAACAAGACCATTTTCAAAGACAGAGAATAAAAATGCCACGCGAGTGACGGTGCCAATGACACCCCTCGCCGGAGAGAGCGTGAGGCTGCCCGGAGCGCCCCCACGCTGTGCGGCCACAGGCGCAGCAGGCACGGCCCACGTGGGTCCGTCACATCGGTCACGAGACTCGGCCACCGGCAATCGGCGTCGACACAAATGTTTTTTTTTCTCACGTTTCAATAAATAAACAAGTCCCCTTCTTTGATGTTCAATAAAGCTACATTCCATAACGCGGCTAAGCAAAACATAACAGAAAAGCCATTTAATTCGAACAACCCACATACATTATTTGGTTTAAGGATGATGGTGATGATGATGGCATTGACAATGACGACGACGATGATGATGAAATATGAGTAAATCTGTAAATTGCATCAACGTGACAGACCAAATTTTTATATCCCAGGCAATGTTCACCTATAAAGCTCACATTGTAACCGATTGTTAAGGCTAATCGAATTTAACAAAAAATAATGAGCTGCCTGTTCACACAGCCTGTTCCTCCTGTTCTCACCCAGATCTCTTAGGATTTGTGACTCGGGAGAGCCGTGGTCGAGGCCGGGGTTGAAAGTGTGAACATTTACCACAATGACCCTGATCCCCTCTGGAAGATTTGCAAGCATATGAACTTGTTGATATCTCGGGCCCAATTGAGCACAGGTGAACTATCGATGCACTCCACTGGTAGACGAGCCGAGAGCACTACAACAATGCAAAAGTACAATGGTAACAAAATATTTGGCTAAACAATGGTTTATACATGGATTGATTAAACAAAACTTGTGCTTTAAACAACAACAACAAAAAGGACCTGCAAAACAAGCCAGACTATTTATCTTACTGATTCAATTGTCACGATTCAGGGTCAAGAAATTCAATCCAAGAATTCAATTCTTGTAAAATCTTTCCCATCGTCTCTTTTTCCCAATTCCCTGTACACCTCGCTCAAATGCAAGAGACACGTCAACTCTCACCCACTCCTCCGCCGTCAAGAGTGCTGCTTGTCGCTGGCAGCTTGGCATTTTAGGACCTTTTTTTGGGCCCCGTGCTCAGCAACCGTAATTTCAAATATATTGAATTGCGGTGAATGTATCAGCCTCTAGTGGCTGGAAGGGTCACTGTGAGCCGTGCAACGCAAGACGCGAAACGATGCGTGTATCGCGCGGCAGAAGGACCGGTACTGATGAATCAAGGCACCGTTACTCCCCCTGGATACGATGAGGCTGCAGTACACAGAGCAGTACATCTCATGCAGCCCACTGCTTGTGTGTCGGAACTTCCCTTCTCCAAAGGCCCAGTGTTTAACGGCGGTGAGGATTCTACGTTTTGCCGCTTTGCGATGACGCGTGATGCAAGTGGCCGTGGTGCCTTCATCTTTATGGCGAAAACATTAAAACAAATAAAGGAAAAGCCTTTTTTTTTGCGGGAACAGTGTAACGACTCACAGTGCGTGTACTGGACACGTTGAGTTGGAGTGAGCGGCGTGTGTGAGCATGGGTAATAAACGGGTGCTACGCTCCCCACGTTGTTGCTGTACACTCGGCGTGAGCAGACACCTGCGCCTTAACAGACGAGGCATGGCCATGCTGTATAGCTAGCACGTGGCATCTACTTTTCACGCACTGATGATGCATTCATATTGTCAAGAACTACGACAAACGCATCTCTTCAAGAGCGCAACGCCGCCCAATGTTCTGTTTTTGTTTTGAATATCGCTTTAAATGACACGTGACTTCACCTCTTTAAATGATACGTGCCTGCATCCATTTGACGGCCACCACTGGGGTGAGGGGTGGGGGGTTGGCCTGCCCATTGCAATTTCTAAATCAGAGGCATTTCAAAGTGTTCCGCATCGACCGTCTATGGGAAATTCGCGACGGCATTAAAAGACCGAGGCGGAGAGTTTCGAATTGCAAAGTTGGCGGAGGCTCGCGGCGTTCACTGAGATGCCTCCGAGCTGTCCCACTGGCTGAGGTTCTCCGAGAAGCCGTCGCTGAAGTCCAGCACCTCGGCCAGACTCACCACACCCCCCATCAGCAGGTCATCATCATGGATCTCCTCCCAGGGGTGACGCAGGGAACTCACGGCCAGAGCCAGCTCTTCATCCAAACCCAGCGGCGGCTGACTCAGCTGCTGCTGCTGCTGCTGGTGGTGGTGGTGGTGCTGCTGCTGCTGCTGCTGGTGATGGTGGTAGAGTTGCTGGTGCAGCCGGCTCTGCTGCACGAGGAGGGAATCGAGGCCCGCCTGCCCGCAGCACCACTCGGACGGGCGGTCGATGTGGTGGCCGTGGATCGTGAGGTCGACGTCCAGCTCTCCGGCCGCGGCCACCCCCCCGCTCTCCGGTGTGAGCGGCGGACTCAGCTCGAACTCCCCGAGCCCGCCAAGGTCTCCGTGGAACATGTCCTCCAGCACCTGCTGCCAGTCCAGGTCGGCCCGCAGGTGGTCCCTTGCGCGCTCGTCCGGGCCCGCGAACGGCGACGCGGGAAGGCGGACGGGGCTGGAGGTCCGGGGCATCTTGCCCAGCCTCTTGGGCAGCGGCTGCTTGCGCTTGCTGCCCCGGGGGTCGTCGGTCAGGCAGGGCCCGTGGGCGGCCCCCGGCAGCGCCGTCTCCCAAGCGGAGCCGTGGTGCCGAGCGTTCCACATGCCGCTCTTGCCCGGCGCGGACGGCGCGGGCGCGGAGACGCCGCCGGCACCGGCGCCGTGGAAGTTTGCCGGACCGACTCTCCTGCGGCGCCTCACCATGCCGTTCTCGAACAGGTCGGCGTACTGCGGGTCCATGGCCCAGAAGCCCCCCTTGCCCGGCTCGTCCTTCTGCCGGGGAACCTTCACGAAGCACTTGTTCAGAGACAGGTTGTGGCGGATTGAGTTCTGCAAATGAACAGAGACCCCCCGTGGTATTAACAACAACGCCCATTTGAAAATGGCACGAAGGCGACGGACGACTTTTGCTTTTTAAAGCAAAAGTCTGGGAAATAAAATATATTATTTGAGTCGTGAAGTTAGCGGTAGTGTAGCGATTAGCTCGACGCTGCGCTACGAACCCGGTGCGCCGAGTTCGATTCAAAGCCAACACCGGCGACGATCATCTGAACCGGTTCTGGGCCTCACCAAGGTCGACTCGGCCACCAAATGCGTACATGGATGCGGTTTGCGCAAACATCGTCACCGGGGAGACAAAGGCGGCCGGGCGTGGTACCGGCCACCTACCCCCCTCATGCGCCGTGCCAGCCTTCTCGCTAGCAACACTTGCCACAACAGTCTGTTAAGGCTGTACGGGGAATCTTTGTCTTTGGTCAGAACTGTAGAACTTTTCTGACACCAGGGCACAAGTTTGGGGTGCGTCTTACTCTCCGGTTCGTCTCACAATTCGGAGAGCGCGTCAGTAGGTGAGCGAATGCCAGCGCGCGGTGGGGGGGGACAGAGGGCCACGTGAACGAATTCCTTCGCCTCCCAACACCGGCGACGACGCCATCTTCGTACGGGAGTCTCGACGATTAAAACCAAAAAAACACAACGGATCTCGACGCAGCTTTAACAAACAAAAAAGCAGCCGCTAAGAATGTGGACGCCTTTTTTCGTCGCACCTCTTCGCAGAGGTCCAGAAATTCAAAGCGCTCACGAATGCCACCCCGCGCCCACGGGTTCCTTGCGGCACGGAGCGACAGCGTCTTCTTTTTTTTATTAGTGTTTTTGGCGCATCGCATAATCAATTTAAATGGCGTCTAATTATGACGGGCTTTGAAGCCTCTCTACTGGGCTTGACTCACAATGGCGAGCCTTCAATGAGAGGGCCGCAGCAGTCCCTCCTCCTCTTACACACCCTTCATCTATTATTTGTATCTCATTAGCGGCACCGCAATCGCCACCGACAGCCCGCAAGCCCACGGACTGTCCAACTCCCAACCTCAAAACCTTACAATAATCACCGATGCGAGGACCGGACGACACGAGTGGTACGAGTTGGATGATGATTTTATTATTATTATTTATACGTGGCCTAGTGGAAGCATCGCTCGTCGCGGAGGTCCGCGGTTCGAATTCAGCGGCCGCCCCTGATAATCACTGCGGATGCAATAATCGCGACAACGCGAGAGCCGACCCTCGTGCGTCGGCGTCACCGTTGAAATGGGTGGCGAGATGTTGACTACCTCGCCTGGTATGCAGGAGGTCGTGGGTTCCATCCCGACCCTGACGCCTGCTGCTGCATATTTGGAATCTGCGTGTCTCTCTCTCTCCCCGTGGTCGCGGGATTTTTATCCAGGCCCTCCAGGTTTTTTCCTCCACATTTAGAATCAACATCACCACGCGTTTAGAGTGTTCGGCTGCTGATATAAATGTCCACACGACGATGAGCCACTTTCGTTGAGCTATCATTTGTCATAGCCAGGTCGCTTGTAAAAAAAAGAGCTATATAGCTCAGTGGGGCCTTACCTGGTAAAATAAAAAATAAAAATTATACCTTTAATTATACCGCAAATTCCTCAATTGGGATTACTTTTCACACGGGCACGGCAACAACCGTCACCCCACGACCGGCAGCAGCCTCACGCCCCAGGCCGCTCCTGCGAATGAGACTCCGCCGGCAATGTTGAGTGTTCTCACGCTGGGTTTGAACCAAGGTCACCTGGCACGGCGAGTGGCCGTCAAGCAGCCGCTGAAGCTGGTGGTTGTAATCGCCAGCGGAACCTCGCACGGTACTCAAATTGTGAACGTTTGTGTGGATTCACTCCCCAACACACCGTGATGCTGAACTCGTATACCAATTGACACGTTTTGTTTACGTGACTAACCTAAAAAAAAAGCCCTTTCTTATGTACAGGCTGCCGCTGCTGTTTGCGTTGCGAAGGCGCGGGTGGTGTGAGTCCAACCTGAACGGCGGAACTCCACCCAGCGACTGCGGCTTCCTTCACTCGAGCGGCGACCGCGCTTGTGTTTATTTTACGACTGTATATGTTTATCGTGCACAGTGGATACATTTGCCAGTGGAAATCGTTTGAATGAGTGCAACTGCACGCGTGGCTTTCTAGGTTCCAAGACCCGACTCATTTGCAGTGTCAAATTCCGACTATTACTGTTTATAGCAACAATGACAAATTAATGAGGTGGTGGTGGTGGGGGAGTGGTGGAGCAGTTGTTAGCACTGCACTGCACGGTGAACCCATGGATGTGGTTCACATCCGTGGCGTGTGATATCTGAACCCTTCCTCCACATTTGACCTGCGTGGTGAAGTATGGTCAGCTAACATGGCACGGTAATTCCGTTATCCACCAATGGGTGGCCTACAGGCCGTAGAATTATAATTATCAGTCACAGATTAATGGACAATAACTGTCAAAAAAAGTGCACTGCTCAACAGGGCAAACGTGACGTAGTTATGTTGTCATAAGTGTACGTTTAGAGGAGTGCTTGTTAATTAGCAATGGGTTCCAAGCTATGATTGTGTTGTGTATTACATAATATCGTGTGAAACTAGGATCCTTGTCTAACAGAGAAGATCATTGCCATCTGACAGTTCACCAGAATGAGTTCAAGCAAGCCTGACTGCTGATGAGACCCTGGATGTCGAAACCGGTCCAGAGTTTGTTCGTATCGAACCAATGATGCACTCGCAGAAAGCTTTTTGGCTGATGGGATGTCTAAAAAATACTTTGATTTTTTTACGTGGAAGGACAAATATGGAAAGGAAACGTACAGTCTCGTCTGCTCGTTCAGCTTGGCATCTCAAGTGGTTGGGGGCTCCACGGTGGCTAGGAGATGTTAACTACCTCACCTGGTATACAGGAGGTCATGGGTTCGATCCCGACCCTGACGCCAATATATTTGAAGTTTGCATGTCTCTCTCCCCGTGGTCACGTGGACGTTTCTCCAGGTCCCCCGGTTTTTCCCTCCACATTTAGAAAGATGTGTCTAGAGTCTTTGGCTGCGATACATTTCCATGTGATGATAAGGCACTTGGCTGAGCTGTCATTTGTGATAGCCAAGTCACTGCTGAAAAAAGAGCTACATAGCTCAGTGGGGCCTTACCTGGTAAAATAAAAATTGGCTTAATTCTCGTTTTACTTCAAGGACTGTGCAGATATGCAGCAGACAGGGACCGCGCGAGTGGCGATCGTGGCAGCTGAGCGTCGTAGAGACGCACGCGTCGTCCACTGTGCTTGCCATCTGTCGTGACTGCAGCAGATTACATTACACGCCACGCACACACAGCCCCGTGTCGCCTCCCGTCACAGCGAGACCATGGGTGCGCCATGACCACCAGCAGCAGCACAGCACGCAGGCTCGTCCCCCCGTGGGTAGCACGTGTCGCGTGCTACCCACGGGGGAGCAGCACGTGTCACACGCACGCCGCGTGCGTGGTGCTCCGTTGTCGTCAGGGCTTCATGTCTGCCGCTGAAGCTGTCCGAGGCAGGGCTCCAGAAAATATTCCTACATCCCCCCACCCCCCCACCACCTTATCCCATTTGGCTTTGAAGGTTAGGGGTAACTGGAACTAAAATATTCTAGGAGAAATTGAAGCCTGCAAAAATTAAGCCCTGCAATAATGTAATTACGCAAGCTGCAAGCATCATTACAGCGACACAATACATGGTACATATAAGCTGTATAATACAGCAGAAGCTGAATACAAGCACACGTGATGTAAGCACAGAGCAACAGCATGCTGACGTTACACTCGCGGTGGGTGGGGGAGGGGGAGGCATAAGGCCGCTTCTGATATAAGCACACTCCTGTTAGCACAGCTCTCGCCTTGCTCCCAACACGTGTGCTTGTATCAGGTGTCCGCCATTCTCAAAGTCCAAATCTGACATCATGACAGCTACCCACATGTACTTTGCGCATCATAGACAAGGCATTATTATCTCGACGTGTCTTATGGATTTCGAGAGACAATGGATCTCTCAATGGGATATCATCTGATATGGCGATCACACTCTAACATAACGCGCGTCCCAGCTACGGTGGATGGAAAACATCGCAGCTCCTCCGATTGGCACCGTTAGCAGCCTTTATAATTGAAGTCTATGGGAGACTTTAACATTGAAGTCTATGGGAGCCTTTAACATTGAAGTCTATGGGAGCCTTTAACATTGAAGTCTATGGGAGTCTTTAACATTGTAGTCTATGGGAGCCTTTAACATTGAAGTATATGGGAGACTTTAACATTGAAGTCAATGGGAGACTTTAACATTGAAGTCTATGGGAGCCTTTAACATTGAAGTCTATGGGAGTCTTTAACATTGTAGTCTATGGGAGCCTTTAACATTGCAGTCTATGGGAGCCTTAAACATTGAAGTCTATGGGAGTCTTTAACATTGAAGTCTATGGGAGCCTTTAACATTGAAGTCTATGGGAGCCTTTAACATTGTAGTCTATGGGAGCCTTTAACATTGCAGTCTATGGGAGCCTTTAACATTGAAGTCTATGGGAGCCTTTAACATTGAAGTCTATGGGAGTCTTTAACATTGTAGTCTATGGGAGCCTTTAACATTGAAGTCTATGGGAGACTTTAACATTGAAGTCAATGGGAGACTTTAACATTGAAGTCTATGGGAGCCTTTAACATTGAAGTCTATGGGAGTCTTTAACATTGTAGTCTATGGGAGCCTTTAACATTGCAGTCTATGGGAGACTTTAACATTGAAGTCAATGGGAGACTTTAACATTGAAGTCTATGGGAGCCTTTAACATTGAAGTCTATGGGAGTCTTTAACATTGTAGTCTATGGGAGCCTTTAACATTGCAGTCTATGGGAGACTTTAACATTGAAGTCAATATGAGACTTTAACATTGCAGTCTATGGGAGCCTTTAACATTGAAGTCTATGGGAGCCTTTAACATTGAAGTCTATGGGAGTCTTTAACATTGT